TCTTATAGAAACATTTTGGATTGAGTAGTGGACTCAGAGTGGGCACCTATGTATTAGCATAAGTTGTGAGTTAGTGTTGGTTTGTCTTTAGTGATAATTAGTATGTCTTTGAGGGACAGTGGTGTTTTGAGTCCTTTGTGCTTGGTGGTTAGACGGAGTTGTTATACTCTTTTAAGTGATATCGTGTAGGTTTGGTGTGGGTTGTTAGTCCGTGGACTAGTATGTGTTGGTATATAGTTCTGATTATTGTGTTGGTAACAGGAGGTTAGTATTGTGGAGTGTGATTGGTAGGGATGTGAGTTGTTGTTTGACTTCCCTCAAGGTTGGCCGAGTATGTTGGGTCATTTAGGCTTGGGGTTTCTCTTTATAGATGATGTGTGATTGAAACAGGTGAAGTTGTTTTCTATATGAGTTAGATGAAGTAGTTAATTGAATATCTAGCAGGATTGATAGTTGCTTTGAGTAATTAGTTTTGATTATCTTGTTTTGTAACTGGGGGATAAACGATTGGAATTATTAAATGATTATTTTGTTTTTGTAATCAGTATGATGTGAACCGTTAAAATACTATGACTGTATTCATGCATGTATGATGGGTTATTTATTTTATGAGTTCTTTTCTTTCCTTTCTCGCTTAACCTTCTGAGCTCGCCTCCCTTTCTTTCGTTGAGCCGCCTTCATTTTATAGTCAAACCTGCAAAGAAACAAACAAAATTAATAATAATATAATATTAATAGTTATTATATAAAATATATTTTTTTTTTTAATTGAGCAGGGAGGTCAGGCCTGGGCCTAATTTTCTGGCCATAGATCGGCCTAGCCCGGCCCGAATTTTGGCATGAGCCCGCGAGGCCCGACATGAGCCGGGCCAAATTTACACCCTGACTTCAATTATTTTTCTTTCTTTATTTTTTTTATTTACTTTATTGATATAATACAATATATAAAATATTTAAAATATATTATTTGCACTAATATTTGTACAAATATTCAAAGTATATAAATATATATATATACAAAAATAGTAAAAATAAATAGACTAATAAAATATATTTTAACAGGTCAAATATGTAAGGTATCAATCAATTATTAAATTCATACTTTTTATGTTAGACAACCCAATTCATTCGGATTTATCATACTCAATTTTTTACGTATAAACATTTAATATTTGGTCAACCTTAATAAATTGAACAAAATAATTTTGTTCACATGTAAATATTTGAATAATGTGTAAATTTTCAACCCTGGTTAATCCGAACATATAATGAACAAAACCATCACTCAAGTGATTTTATGAACAAGAAAAACAAAACAAAAAACAAAATAAAACAAAACAGAACAAAATTGCCTTCGTCTAGTTAACTACAATTTTCATTGATACATTCTTTCAAAGCAAGAATTTGAGTGTCATCCATGGGGTGCAAATATTCAAAACCGATTGATTCCAATGTTTTTAAATCCTACATGTTCAAAGATAATAATATTTTGAGTTGGGAATGGAAGTATAATGAAGATGAGAATGAGGTGAACTAATTAATAATTGATGATATCATGAGTGTGCTGTGTTCGATGATAATGGAGAAGATTATGAGTGTTGAACGATGATGTGTAAAGAGTATTTTGTGTTTTGATGTATGAATTCTTTGGATTGATAGAATACACACCATTATTGTCCTTAATAGTTATTTTATTTAAAGATATTATTATAATATAAATTTAATGTTTTAGTGGTGTGTACTGAGACAATTTATGGTGTGTAACAGAATTACCCGTTACTAAAATATCCTATTTCCGAACCAACCCTTGGTTTAACTTTCTTATCATGTTAGCGTGTGTTTGTACCAAAAAATGGCAACTTGGCGTCAAAAGCAAGAAAGGGCCATTTGGAGCTTGAACTTTGAGGAATTGCCCACATATATTCACGAATTGAGGCCTTCTAGCTATAAAGAAAGCCAATTAACAATGACTAACCATTCTTGCAAGCTTAAAAGGCCTATTGGCAAGTCTGTCTAGCCTTATAGAAATCTGGAATCCTGCAAATTACAAAAATTTACATTCGGCCTAGAGCATGGTGCAGGAATTCACTCACAGAAGTTCTAGACCACGGTGTAGGAATACATTCGACCTGGATCATGGTGCAGGAATTTACATTCTGCCTAGATCATGGTGCAAGAATTTGGAGTCTTCCTAGATATGACGCAGAACTTCATGGACAAGTGGCATAACTTGATTTTTTAATTCAATATGAAAAGTCCTAGTGTCTCGAGTCCATTAGTTTCATAAGCATATGTATCAATGTCGGGACTTGATTGCTAAATACAATAGTAGCCCATTGTACAACTTCGCCTATCCTTCATACTTTCTTTTGGGGCTCGAAGCGATTTATTCTGCAAGTCTAATTAGGCTTCAAAAAGCACCAGATTAAGCCAACTCACCCACGAAGGCTAATTCAGCCTGCAAGTTAACAAGAAAAACATTAGACCGTTGGGTAACACAAGTTAATGGACTAATAACCATTTGGTTCACTAGAATGAGATTGAATGGAATGGAATGGTCATTCCTTAATTTTCCTATTCATTCCCTTGAATTGGTGAATGATAACTTTATTTATAATAAATTTTTCATTATTGTTTTAGTCAACCAAACATGAGAATGAATATTTTGAAGGAATGATCATTCCATTCCACTCCATGCCAACACTACCTAAAAGCATACTAAGGGGAGCCAAAATATGTGACATTTCAGCACCTATCTAAATCTAATGGGACCTTTTAAATGTGTGTGCATTTGTGTGAGTATACTTTTACATCTAAAAAAATGCAAATTTACCTATTATCTTGCTTTTAGAAGCCTAAATTTCTAAGACACGTAATTCTCTTCATTCAAACACCAGCTTATTCTAGAGGGGATTCAATCCTAGGTCTTTAGTACCACACTAATACTGTGTTTGGTTGGGAAATTTGGAGAGAAATTTGGAAAAAAAAAGGAAAAAGGTGTGTGAAACTAGGTGACATGTAGGTATATTTTATTCACATTGCACCTAACTTTTCCCTTTCCCTTTCTAAATTCCTCCTCAAATCCTCCAACCAAACACGGCGTAAGAGATTTTTTCTAGTAAGTTAGCTGGAACCTTCCACACTCCATCTTATTCCAAGCTCACCACCCATAACATTTGATTGACTAGTTTGGAGTTTAGCTAGCAAACTAGATTAAGTTGGTTTCAATTATGCATACGTGGCCTGTCATACAAGTGTCTATATACATATATATAGTTGTCTATAAAATTTGACTAGGCTGAAAAACTATATGGAACTTGAGTGTCGGTGTTTCATCAACTTTTGGGTACATCAATATCATGCGTTGGACAACAAAGAGATGATAGGGTGAAGAATGGATTATGATTGATCACATGGTCTAAACATTATTTCGTTTAAGAATGGTTCTAGAAATAAAATAAATAAATCAACCACTTAAACAGATGAGAAAGCCACTTTCTACTTTCAGGCAAAACAAGAGTATGATAGCAGTCATTGTGTTGCTGTTACTAGTGTATATATTTACTGCAGAAACTGCCTAAATATCAGCCCCTCTTTGATTGAACATGCCTATATGCATAACTAATGAGATTATGTTTTTGTTCTGTCTAAATAATTTGCTTTTGCTGCAGGTCTTTGGTTCAAAGAAGGTGAATTATGTCAATGGACACCAGCTAAAGCACCATAGGTGAGGGTGTGATCTTTTACCATCTTATAGATTCATTCACTTTTGTAGATTTCTTTCAACCATCTGTGGAAGATTAATTCATTTGATGTGATTTCAAGCAATATGCTGACAGTTCATGAAGTGGGCATATTCCACCAGTAATTTCATCGGAGAAATTGTTGGATAACTTTAATACTTCATGCCTTTTGTCCCGTATTTCTTCTGCAATTTTTGACTCATTAAATTTCCATCAGAAACCTGTTACACTGCTAGGACTAAGGACATTATCCTTGAGTTACCCATCAGTAAGGAAATTGTATATTATTATGGTGTGTCAGATATTTGAGTGAATGATGTCACGGGGCTTAGTGTTCATGAACACATTTTGATCATTTGATTTCATTTTGCAACTCCTAGTTAAGATTTTCTAGCATGATATGAAATACCATTTTCCCACTTAAATGTTTGCATCAAGTCATGCTTATGCTTCTTATGTGGTACGTTGATGCCGCCAAGTGCTTCCATTTTCCTTGAATTCCAATCAATAACCTTCTTCCTTGGTGGCCGCATTGTGGGACTTTTAAGTGGAGAATTGGAACAAATTGCATTTTTCATTAATTACATTCATTGGTTCAGGTCAGGACATTTTTTTTTTTTTTTCTTGTCTCAAGGCAGATTATTAGTTGGTAAGTATATGTTTAAATGAGTATTGAATGTTCTACTGGTATCCGCTTGATGTCTTTGATGAAATATTTTGCAAATAGCAGTATTACAATCAATCACAATGGACAAACATTTTGCAAAAAGGCTTGTGGAAGAAAATCAAATAGCAGTATTACAATCAATCACAATGGACAAACATTTTGCAAAAAGGCTTGTGGAAGAAAATGAAAAGAAAATCAAAAAAGTTGTTATTGAAATGAGACTGACCTAAGACCTTGTTATGTATGCATGGGTAATTAATTAGGCAGTGAATACCCCCTTGGTTAAGATCTTGGTATGTGAAGTAACCTAAGTTATGATACAAAAATGTGCTCGAAGTTATAATCAACAGCTCAAAGACATGAAGCTTAGCTTGGCCAAAATAAGAAAGAAAAGCTTGTAAATCATAATACTTGTCCCAAGATGAAAAAGGCAAAGAAGCAATAGGCAGTTATATTATTTGCATTATCAAACACACTTCTAGTTCTACCTTCTATATATGCCAATGATATATTCATGAGAGAGGACCTGCCTGCATATATAACACCAACCTTAATCTGTATAGGTTAGAAATTAAACCAAATGAAAAAGATTCATTGAATAAATGATTACTTTTATAAATAAAAAAATATATATATTTATGTGCATACAACAGCAATTATGTGTTTTTCTTCTACACAAACAAAGATCACAAACAGCAGGAACAAACTGCGCAATCAAACCAGTAACCCCTCTATTATTAGTTCACTAGCAAGGGTATTTTACCCAATATTCAAATCTTATCTAACATTTGAAAAGCAGGGACAGAATCTACACATTCCTGTTGCAATTGTAGTCCTGTTGTATCACTCCATCTATCCGCAGTCTTTGCACTCAGTGAACTACTGGCTGAACAACACTTATTCTCTACCATAACTGCCTCAGCAGGCAAGCTTAGAGTGTGTTGAGAACTCCTATATCTGGCAAACAGGTAAGTAACAGACCTCATTTTGTTCTGTTGCTCTTTCAAGATGCCCATAGGCCGATAATCACTACAATTTGATGAAATGCTGTTGGAAGAGCAATTTGTATCTTCTGTCATTGCCTCATCATCATAGGGTGAATTGCTTGCAAAATCGCAGCTGACATCTATTTTCATTGCCTGATCTGAGGGTGAGACTGGGTTACATCGAGAACCGTGTCTAAGCTTCACAAGTGTAGCCTCTACATCAAAGTGAAACTGAATAAACCTTCAAGAAGTCGTCAGTTAGCACCTACTGTCATAAATGCATAAACTCATATTTTCTTATGAACTTTTGTGGGTTTTTTTTTTTTTAAAAAAAAAAAAATTTCATGGCTGAAAAGCAACACTAGTGTTTGCATTTCCTTATTCCTGCTTGTCACTCTTGCTAATAAATTATAAAAACTATTCAAAAGCATCACTATCCAAGCACCAAACACTTAAAAAGAAAGTGAATGTACTTGCAAATTTCTAGTTTAGAATCCGACAAAGGCACATTTCATTGTAAGTAAATTGTAGGATAATATTATTTCCCATGTACCCCCAAAAAAAATTAGGATAATATAAAACATTCTGATTTGTTGCCGTCCCCAGCACAAATAAATAAATAAATAAAATAGAGAACTTGTACATAAATTTATCTCCCAACTGCAAAAATATATATATAAATAAATACACGGTTTATATTTTTTCTAGTTATACCACTGTTTTCTTATCCTCTAAAATCAAGATTCATAGTTTAAAATGGCTATCAGTGGCAAAGCATTTTTCTTACAAATGGAGACAGACACCAGTAAATTTCAGATTGTCAGACCACAGTTTGCACTTGGTGACATTAAATTGATTACCATGGAATTTATAGTTGGAGTTGGATATTTGAAATATGGAAACTATATGGGAATGTTTGGTTATTAGGATCATAGCATGGGATTGGAATTGTTAGTACATGGACTCACAATCCCATGTTTAATTGCAAATTTTATTAACTGAATTACATGTACAACGGACAAGACAAATTTTTAATATTAAAAAGGGTAGGATCATAATTTCAAGTATGAAACAAAAAAAAATTAAAATAAATAGTTATCTCACCAGTTTAATTAGATAACTAATTCTACACTAATTCATGAGATTATTAATCCTTTCAATATTAATCATATGCCTATATGTACAGTGGAAGGAGAGAATGAAACAAGATTTTTCACTTTTATACAAGAATAATTGTATTTGTGCAGATACAATAATACTAACAGAGACAGCACCATATCTTCCACACTGTTGTTCTCCAATCAACAAGGAAAAAGCAAATGAGTTAATACATTGAATAAGCTGTCTTAAGAGGGATTTCATTTGTTGTCAATATCATTGCAGACTTTTGGATTGCTGTAACTTAGATCATGCTCTCTCTGTATACTATGAATATGGTGGGTATGGCAAATAGATGTTTGCATTGCATGTATGTATGTATGTATTAAGTAAGAAGGTGCCTTGCAATTAATTAAAAAGTTTCCAAGTGCACGGTATTCAGGCTACATGACCGTTGTGTTTGGTTGGGAGATTTGAAAAGTGATTTGAAAAAGAAAAAAGTATGTGAAACTAAATATATATATATATATTTTATTTATATTTCACCGAATTCTTTCCTTTTTCATTTTTCTTTCCAAATCCATCAACCAAACACAGCGGACAAGTTATTAGTTTCTCAAAGACTTGTATTCTCACTGAAATCTAGCATTTGCAGTTCTCCAAATACATAGAATACAGATTTAAAGAGAAAAGTGGTAGGTGTGATCAGCACAAGTTTAATTGTCAGATTAATAATGGTTTAAAACAGAACATATAAATGCAGAGTATTATTGCAGTCAGTCAGTATGTTTATCAGAATAAATTAAAAAGGGCATGTGAAGAAGTGCAATGGGACATTTGGTTTTTAAGAAATTAAACTAAGATATTATTATGATATGAGTAATCATCAAATTTAACTAGACAAAAGGAGAGATATTGCATATGATAATTTCATCATTACTTTTAACTAAACACAAGGATTTGAATCAACACAAGACAATTAACCAAACCAACACATTTCTGATTTAAAAATCAAATGCATATGGTGGAGAGAGAGAGAGAGAGAGAGAGAGAGTAGTTAGTAAGTAGTACCATAGATGGAGAGAGAATCATCTTTGATGATCTTCGAAGGTGGCCTCTCCAGCGAACTAGACGAAGGTGGTCTCACCCTTCCCAGCATCTCTTCTCTCCCTTTAGAACAACTCTCTCTCTCTCTCTCTCTCTCTCTCTCTCTGTATATATATATATAGAGAGAGAGAGGGTTTCTTTGTTTGAAACATTTGGAGGGAAAAAGGAGCCATTGACGCCGCGGCAACTAAAAAAAGGGGCGGGAAGCAGCTACGAATAAAACTATTATTCAAAAAGTAATTTTAGGAAAATGTATTATTTAAATTAATTCAAATCATTCAAACATATATATTTTGAATTACTAATTTAAATTTTGATTAAATATGTTAAACATTTTTCTCATTTCAAAGATTTTATTAATACCTTTTAAACTATATTAATTTTATAAAAATTAAATTTATATATTTTTTATCAAAATAAAATAAATTTTTTTTGCTTTGAAAAAATATCAAAAAAATAGAAAGTTAAAAAAATAATCATAAATTTATGAAAGTACAAATACTTTATACACTACATAGTGCACATAAGTGTTGTTCTTCCACAAATTTACAATTATTTTTTTATTTTTTATTTATTTTTTTGATATTTCTCCTTTTTTTATTTTTTATTTATTTTTTTGATATTTCTCCTTTTTTATTAGTGCTAGTAGGGATTCATGTGGTGGTTCTCCTCATCAATCATAATTTATTATGTTCTTTTCTATTTTTCAATCACTTAATACAAAATTGTGAATCATACTTCTTTCACCAATCATAATACCCTTAAGGGTTGGTTTGGCAAAGGCTCATTGGGCTTTTTTGGCTCAATGAGCCATAAAAGACAGAATAGGCTCATGAGCCACAACAGACAAAACATCCCATCCAACCCCATAATCATTACATTCTTCTCTCGCAAAAAAATCAAAAAAGCCAAAAAGCCAAAAGTCCTTCCCAAACTAAGCTTTTGAGCCCAGGTTCATATAGTCAAAAAAGCCAAAAAGCCAACCCACTTCCCAAACGGCAGCTAAGGCATCACCTAGCGATGCCCCCAAAAACAACCAATAACTTCTCATGTATATGTTGCGCACAAAGATAGAGAATGGTAATTATATAAGTTTTGCAAAGTGTGTGTGATGTGTGTATGAGTGCCATGTTAGCGGCCCGAGGCCGCCCGCAACTTGAGGTAGGCCCAGCCCAGTTAAGCTCGGCCAGGCCCAAGCCAAAGCCTTGCCCGAGATCTTGGTCTTGGACTTGAGCCGTCTTTTTGGAAGCCCCGCTCAACCTAGCCCAAAAAATTTCACACCCGACTACGACCTACCCCCCCCCCAATGACTCTTTGCCAACAATCACAAAATTCAAAAAATAAATTAAAAAAATTTGAATTCGATTCAAACGATCAAATGACCGTTTAACACCAAACGGCCAAAAATTTGAATTCGATTCAAACAATTCTCTCTCTCAAACTCTCAATCTCTCTTAACTCTCAACTCTCTCAATTAATTTTGAAGTCACATCTCTAAGTGACAATTGCAACTATGCAAGAAGAAGCTTCTATCAGAAGAAGATAGTTTTTGCATCGCATTCGCCAATCGGTAACATTAATCAGTTGAATTAAATTTATTAGTTACTCATTTTTTTACGTTAATTATTTCTTAACATGTATTAGTTATTATTATTTACTCATTATTTAAATTAATTGTCCGTTCTTATATATTATTTTACCTACATTATTATGAATCATAATATTCCTAATATTTATGTCTAAATTGATGCATATGCTATACAACATGAATTTGTTGATTCTCCTTCTCATGTACCTAATATTCATCTTCAAATAGTTGAATCATCTTCTAGTTGCACGACTAGTAGTGTTTGGGAGCATTTCGAAAGAATATTTGTAAATAATCTTGATGGTACAATTATAATTAAAGAAAAATGTAAATATTGCACATATTTACTTAGTGTTGCATCTGTATGGGGTACTAATCATCTAAAAAGGCATGCTAACAGACATTTACAAAGTCAACAACCCGATATTAAAAGTCAAATGCAATTAGGAGTTTCATCAACTGGTCATTTGTAAATATTTTTATATGATCCTATACATGTACAAAATTTTGTAATCGATTATATTATTAAAAAAATAAAAAAATAAAAAATAAAAAAAGAACAACCTTTTACTACTAGTGAATGTCCTGATTTTTTACAAATGGTTCACGAAGGTTTTGCACTGCAATATCAAAAAATTTCAAGAAATACTATTAGAAACAAGATTTTGAAGAAATCTGAGTGGGCCTGGCAAGCCTTTTTTTTTATGAAAAATAAACGATAAATATATTATGTATATATATTATTTATGAGGGATAAAAAAACAAAAGAAAAATTGTACTATAATATTTTAGTTAAGATTAATGAGATGTTTAGTTATGTTTCATGTGTGGTGGTATTTAAATTTAATTGTGTATGACTCAAGTTTTTTTGGTTATGATTAAAAATGTATGAAATTATGTAATTTTCTTATTTTGAAATGAATAATTTTATATATATCAAAATGAAACTTGCAATATTGCAATCATTAAATTAAATAGATAATATTTATTGAATGAATAATTTTTATTTTAAAATAAAAAGAAATAAAATATTACAAAAATTTATATTATTAAATAAAATAAATGTAGATTATTAATGATGGTAGAGCAATTGCATCATTATAGGTCAAGTGCATCCCAACTAGGTTGCAATCTACTAGCCTACCAATCATTTGCATTATACTCCATCTCAATAATCTAATAAAAAAAACAACAAAATGAAATAGTGAAAAATAAATTGTTGATCAATCATCGAAGGAGGTAGACAATTCACTCGCGTTGCCCGAGGATATGTCATCTAAATCGGTTTGAATTCTCTCATTTTCACCATAATTTGTCTTCTTGTAAGCGGATATATATGATCTGTGGATATCATCAGTGTCTCAACCATTTGAGGCAAAAGCTTGCTACAATAATCACTCAACACCCATCCACCTGCACTAAAATTTATTTCTGAAGCAACTATAAAAATAGGAACGGTTAGTATATCATGGGTCATCTGTGAAAGTACATGCCACATAGTTTCATTTTGTTTCCACCAATCCAAAATGTCAAAATTTTCGCAATCATCCACTGCTAGACTTTCCAAATAACGTTGTAGTTTAGATTTACTTATGCTTGTATATTGAGATATTTATCTACTTTTTATTGCTGAAAAAACACTTAATCTTCTGCTTTGAGATGAGGTTGTTGGTGTAGTGTGTATAGGTGTATTTGAAGATGCAGTTGTCCTGTATTCTTCAAATAATGTTTTGCGTGTTTTTATAATAAAGGCAAATTATTTTTGATTAGCAAAAATACGTCATAAAAATTATTGTAAACCAATTTCCTTACGCCTAGGATAAATTATTATGACTAAACCTAAAAGATGAGGCAATGGATTAAAATATTAATCAATTTTTTTCTTTCATTGCAATAATAAGGTTATATAATATTCATTACCCATATATTTTACGAAAACTTTTATTATTTCTACTAACATATGTAAAATAAAATGGTGAAGTAGGAATATATATATATATAAGAAAATAATTTTATTGTAGTATCAAAACTTTTAGAAAATTTTTATATAAGGTTACTTGGCACCAATTAAGTTTTGTGGGAGTCAATACTTCTATTGATATTGTTGCAAAAAATAAATATATTTATTTTTCTTTGTTTACAAGCTCTTCTTAACATATTATATTTTGAATTTCACTTACTATCTATATCTAAAATTAATTTTTTAAATGACATACCTTCTTATTGACAAATTTTCCTGTATTTCAAAGTTCGATTAGCAAAAGACATAATAGTAACAACCGCGCTTTTTTATCACTAGTGCAGAAGTCTCATATACATGTATAGCTTCTTTAACAATCAAGTTTAAAATACAGGCACAACAACGAATATGAAATAAATCATCACCAACAAATAATTGTAAAATTGATTTCAAATGGGGAACAGTTTGATTGTAATATGTTGCCTTATCTAAACTAATGGTAAATATTTTATTTTGCAAACTCATGTAATATATTTCTTATTTCTACACCAAACGAATGACCAGTGTATGGAAATTCAACTAATCTAAATGAAATAATTTTTTTATTTAATTTCCAATAATTATGAATAAAATGTGCAGTGATACATTAATATTTTAAACCATTGTTTGACTACAGATCAGATGTTAAACAAACTCTTCCATTCAAATTTTTGAAGATGTCAAATAATTCATTTTTAGTATCCTCAAATTTCTTTAAAATCCTATTTCTAGTAGTAATATTTCTTGGAAATTTTGATATTGCGATGCAAAACTTTCATGAACCATTTGTAAAAAATCGATACATTCACTAGTAGTAAAAAGTTGTTCTTTTTTTTATAATATAATCAACTACAAAATTTTATGCACGTATAGGATCATATGAAAATGTTTGAAAATGACCAGTTGATGAAGCCTCTAATTACATTTGACTTCTAATATCAAGTTATTGATTTTGTAAATATTTATTAGCATGCCTTTTTAGATGACTAGTACCCCTGCAGATGCAATACTGAGTAAATATGCATAATATTTACATTTTGTTTTAATTATAATTGTACTATTAGGATTATTTACAAATATTCTTTCGAAATGCTCCCAAACACTACTAGTTGTGCCCCTAGATGATGATCCAACTGCTGAAATAGGGATATTAGGTACATGAAAAGGAGAATCAACAGATTCATGTTGGGTAGTATATGCATCAATATCGACATAAATATTAAAAATATTATGATTCATTATAAGTAAAATAATGTATAAGAACTAACAATTAATTTAAATAATGAGTAAACAATAACAACTAATATATGTTAAGAAATAATTAATGTAAAAAAATAAGTAACTAATAATTTAATTCAACTTATTAATGTTACCGACTGGTGAATGCGATACAAAAATTAACTTCTTCTGATAAAAGTTTCTTCTTGCACAATTGCAATGGCCACTTATAAATGAAACTTCAAAATTGATTGAGAGAGTTGGGAGTGAGAGTGAGAGTTTGAGAGAGAGAATTGTTTGTGAGAAATAAAATGGCAGAGGGGGATATTTAAAGGAGTTTCGGGGGAAAGGAGGATAAATTTTTTTTTTTTAAAAAAAAAAAAATTACCGTTGGAAGTAAACGGTGAAATGACCATTTGAATATTTTTTTTTAATTATTATTATTATTATTTGAATTTTGAAAAAAAATTACCGTTGGAAGTAAACGGTGAAATGACCATTTGAATATTTTTTTTTAATTATTATTATTATTATTTGAATTTTGACTGCTTATGACAGAGTCATGGGCGGCAAATTTTTGGACTAGGTTGGGCCAGGCTAGTCACGGGTTGGGCAAGGCTTCAAAATGACAGCTCAGGCTCAAGATCCCGAGCTGGGCTCGGGCCCAGGCATAACCGGTCCGGGCCTACCCCCTTCCGCGGGCAGGTTTCGAACCGTCAACGAGCCACGTGCCAATTTTGCACCCCTAACTTCCACTTCTATTGAAATTTGAGAAAATACTATACTAACTACTTATCCTTTTCATTTTCCACTGGGAAGTAATTTCCCAAACTTCTTAGACCCTTACTAATTAATTTTAAATTTAATAAAAAAAAATTAAGTACCTCACTTAATATTAAAATTAGGACTAGGCTTGAATTTGGGAGGCCTATGGGATTCATCACGACTTCCGTTTTGATAATTTAAATTATTCATTTTGTAGGACCTTCAGTGTATATCATTCATAAAAAAATTAAAGTCAATATAATAATCGCAATATATTCATTTTATTGAGTTTCTCTTTAGAAAAAAGGACAACACCTATATTTTGAAAAGTAGACCATTTATTATTTTTAGAAACAAACATATGAAAATAAAAATATTACAATTATTGAATCAATTTAATTTTTTCACGAATAATACAAACCGAGAGTTTTACAAAATAAATAATACAGTTCATCAAAATTATATTTTTAATGGGTCACACATGACCCTCAAGTTCAAATTTAAATTTCAAAATATCCCAACCCTAAAATAACCATCATCCCCTCAAATTTAACCATCCCACCCCACCCACCTTCGACTGCCACCCCTAACTCTGGCCACCCTCCCCTACCCCTCTCCAACTTTTGGTGCCACCTTACCCCCTCTCGACCTTCCCCCATCACCCTCAAACCCCTATTCTTTTTATTCCGCCACCACTAAACAATCTCTCTCCTCTTAGTCGCTATAGAGAAGAATAAATTATGGCTACAAACCTCTATTCTTCTTATTCCACCACTAAACAATCTCCCTCCTCTTAGTCGCTAGAGAGAAGAATAGGCCATGAATTCTGGCTAGAGATGACGAGAGACTAGAGATTATGTCTGACCGGTAACCTACGACTACTGAAACCCTAACTAAACAAAACATATAGTACTCCAATTTGGGTAAAATTTATTTTCAAGTAGCAAAAGTCTTTAAGTTACTTGATTTAATCATTCATGACTTCTAATTTAATGAAATGAAGTATTCAACATCCTTGATTACGTCTCTTGAAAAAATAATAAAAAATGTAACAATAATAATTATTGTGAAAGTAGGTTGAGTATGCTTCGAAGATATTCTTAAAACCCCAAGGTGTTAGTAGACCTGGGGCTTGAGAGTGTGCTCCTTATATGGTCTCAAGTTCGAAACCTTTTAGATGCAAACAATTTTTTGAGTTCAGTCTGTACGAGCTTTATCCAGACTTTAATTGGGCCCACTACTAGTGAATGGTGGGATTAATCCTCCAAATTAGTTGGTCTCTAAGATTGGATACCAAGTTATCTTGAAAAAGATAAAAAAAAAAAAAAAAAAACTCATACCATTTAGATAAAAATTCACCTCAGATTCATGCAAACATGGGTTAAACTAACTTCAAATTTCATATATGCACATTATCCAAATATCTCCTCAACGTAAAATATAATGTTCTAAAAGAGAGAGAGAGAGAGAGAGAGAGATGCTTTAAAGGACATGCTACAAGGGTTTGTCGTATTAGGGTGACTTGGCCCAAAAGTTAGTATGCCCAGTCGCGGAAACAACTTCTCCAGAAATAAAGATAATATTGAGTACCATCTTATTCTCCACAAACCCTACTTTAACAGAAGACTATGCACTGAATCGCTCATTTAATCATTAATGCTATTCTGATATACATGAAAAGCGCAATCCACAAGCGCTTCTGAAGGAAGAAAATGATTCAATTACTTGTAAACTTATTCTATCAAACAAATAGCAATGGAATGGGCAGTATATTAGAGAACTAGCAATTCAGAATATGCTAAGGCTTCCTGGTCAATTCATGCCTACACCTCTTCACAAGGCAACCACTCTCCCAAATACTCTTCTGAAGAGACCACGTCTACGTCTTTTAGTCTTGAGATCCTCCCCTGAAACAGTATCAGTTTTTAAAATGTTACAAAACATACTAACTGAAAATTATAGAACAAGGAAGTTTGCTTTTGAAAATCAAGATTTAATATGAGCCACCTTACCTTTTAGTCTACCAGCAAGATACAATGCTTCTTCTGCAATCGGTCTCCACTGCTCCGCACATGAGTAGTTGATTCCAAGACCAACGCTAAGTCCTCTCAAAATATGCACCGTTCGAAGAATAGAAAACAATTCTTCTGGAAAAACCTACCATTTGCCATAACACAATAAGGAAATCTACTGTTATAAGATCAAGGAATATAGTGGAATAAAAAATCCATCGTATAACATGTTTCTTGTTATTAACAAATAAAACAGAGCTTCAAATACGCACTCAACCACACTACTAGAACAAATGTTTATATTCAACAATATTTGGGGTGATATTAGGAAACAAGCATGAAGATGAAACTGATACTCAAGGAAAATACAACCGAACAAAAAGGGTTTTACCTCAATTTTAAAAATTATAAGGAATTGATAAAAATAGCACATCTTCATGAAATATGAAATACTAATTTCTAATGTCACCACACCACAAGAACACAGAATTGTTTTGAATCCTTCGCAGAAATAATGGGTTCCTTTACATCTGGTATCCGTATAGCCACAGAAGGCGCAGAGACACTAATCATTGTTGTTGTTTACTAATAAACAAGCATATAAGCAATGATGATAGGTTCAAGTCCTTTGGTGGGATGTCAAAGAACAGGAAAATGGGAGATATTGAATACCTCATAGCTAATCAATCCAAGAAATTTTGCATACCGGAACGGAAAACTTTTTTATTGAAGATTCGTCTGAGAAAGGTTGCAACATTGTTACGCCAGGCGGTAGCTTTGTATCAAACATTGTCTGCGCCAACTTAAGCATTTCCTTCTGTTCATCGTCACACTTGCTTAAGGTATCTATGCCTAGCTCCCTAAGTAAATGAATAAAATGTAAATAATAGTCAAACCCAACAAAGTCAACATTGATATTAAAAAGAAAAAGAAAATCAATCCATTTGTTCTATTGAATAGCTACATCACACACATATATTAGCTATACATATAATCATATACTAATCTGGATTGATAAAACTCGCCTCCCCTCCTTTCTCTTTCTTTTTCTTTTGTTCTTCTTCCTTGTTTCTTTTTTCTTCTTTTTTTCCCCTTTTTTTGATTGGCACTAGCGTGTCCGGATCAAAGCCCGACTAATCCCCAAGGATGCACAGGCCCTCGGCAAGAAGTTTCCCGCAAGTACACTACGGTTAATTCAAGGGTTTTTTCCCAGTCCGATGGCCCCAAGGAATTGTTAGCACCTAAGAGATTGCAATCCCTAAACCTTGGAGGAGCACAACCCCAAGATCCAAAGCCTTGCCACCAGGCAAACGCCTTGGGGTTTTTTCCCCCTTTTTTTAACTCTCCCTCTGTGCCAAATATGATAAACAAGGAATCTATGGGCAAATTTTAGTACCTGTAGCTCTTTGATACCCTTAAGGAATCATTATCAGCAATAGCAAGTACCAGATTTGCATATCCAAGCCTTAAATTGTCAGGGAGGTCCTTCACTTGCCCATAGTCAAGCAAGGCAACCTGATCAGGGAGAAAAGGAAGATTCAAATTTAAGATATTTGAATACAAGCATGCAGATAAATGATATTGGAATATGAAGCAACCAACTATGTAATCCATCTTTCTGGCTAAATCATCTAATCATTAAGCTAAAATCACTAATTTGGGAACAGAATTTAGACTATCAACAAAGAGTGAAGAAAGAGAAAATGTTGGGAAGATGGAAGGTCAGTTTTAACGTAGTAAAGTTCGGTTGCTAACTTGCCTCTGACCCTTTACAGATGAGAATATTTCCAGGATGGGGATCTGCATGGAAGAAACCACTCTTCAGTATCATTTGTCCATATGCAAGTGTCAAACTTTTAAGGATGTTCCTGCGTGTGAGATATTTTAGTAAGAGTGTTGAGCTTTTCATCTACTTATGGCATTGTTAAAGGATCGGCGATACCAAAAAGAAAGAACAAGAAGCCACTTTAAAGATGCTTCTTAAAAGAGGAATGATGGCCAGTGGAACATTAAAGACCACATTCAAGAGGGAAAAAATTCCATTGGTCTAGGGTTTTTTATGCAATGTGGTTGGTAATCTTGATTTTCACCATGAAATTTGCATCCAGAGAATACTATCAGAAATGGCACCTAGACAAAGCAGGCACATTTACTGAGGAAAGGGTGCAAGCTAGGAAGCACGAACACTTCTAAAAATGTAACATGTTGTATCCGACACGACATTCGCTAGACACTTCTCAACAGTTAGACGCACATGAAACACATTACAAGTTTTAATAAAAAAAAACTCCATAATAAAACAAAAACAATGTAAACTATTGACCGAAATATTCCTATATATGACATATAATAATTATTTATCCTTATATATGACATATGATAAATATGGATAATTGGTGAAAAGTCCACACCGACAGGGCCATATGTTATTTGGTCCAAGGTTTAATTCTTTTTTGTGGTAAAGACATGTTTAATGAAATTGTTTGATGAGAAGGACAGATTATTGTTTTGAAGGAATCTTTTTTTCAATTTTACCTCATCACCGGCTGGTTACTGGAAAATTCATCGGCAGCAAAAAAAATTTTGAAAAATTCGTCGGCGTCTGAAAGCTTCCCAGAGGTGGCCAGCAACGACAGATGATGGTGGTGGTGATATGGACATATAGGTAACACATGGACAAATAATGGACAGCACGTGGGAGAAATAGATGACACTCAGACAAATAGATCAGGTGGACAGATAGATAGGAATAATATGGTCTTTCAAATTATTATTATCCTTTTGGTCCAAAAAGAATAGAGTTTGGGGCTATTGCCCCAACAGTTTTGAAATTGGACCCATGGTCCGAGTACCCTAATAAATATATAAAATTATATATTTTATGTGTCTCCCACATGTCATATCCTACATTTTTTGAAAATTTTTGTGTTGGCGTGTTTGTGTCGTATCTGTGTGTGCTTCTTAAGGTGCAAGGGCCAATCTCATGGGTATTTCCCAAGCGAATTACCAAGTAACAACTTGCATTCAAAAAAGAAATCTTGACAGATGACACCTTTTAACTATTTGAATACCTCCCTCACACTTCTAGCCATTACATATTAGAGCATCTTAAGAAAACTTGCCAGGGGTGGCATCACTTAATGAAGAGTGGTGTAAGCCAAACCCCTTTAAAATAATATATCTTTTTTATCTAAAAATAATAATAATACAATTGTCACCACCACTGAAAAATGGGTTTGAACCCCTATATATCTTTAATCTATATGACATTACACAACAACCTTTTGAAAATGTCTTCCTTAGAGCAGTAGTGTAATATTTAGGTTTAGTAGAGGCAAAATAGCAGTGTGGTAAAAAACACTCACTCTAGCTATATGTTTTGCTCGTATCAATCCTATGCCAAATTTTTATACTATACTTTTTGACCAGCAAACTTCTTTCTTCTTCCTTTTTTTTTTTATTAATTTTTTTTTTATATATATATAAAAATTACATCTATGCATTATTTTTGCAATTTAATTTATCACTAACTACAACTATGTCATGTGCAGATAAATTGAGTAAGAATTAATTTGGCACAAATAAAATTAAGATAAATTAATGTAAAGATAAAAAAAAAAGTACATCTATGCACAAGCCCAATTATTTATTTTATAAATTTGACTTAATAAATTAAAGCATTATTAAAAAAATGGTGGTTGATTGTTTAATGAATAAAAAATAGCATAAAAAATATTACATTGTTGAAGCAGATGTGCTATTTTAGCACAGTAAATACTACACACTACTGGAGTAACTTTGAATAAATTTGTATAAAGTACATTTTTGTTGTGTATAGCACAAACGTACTAAACTACTAGAGATGTTCTTATAGTTTGTAGCTAAGGTTGTTAATCTGGGCCGAAAGGTACCACATTGAGGCCGTCTAAGTTACATTTATAGTCTCTGAGGTACGGTTACTTGCAAATATGATGTATTTCTTGTGTGTGCAGGTTTGACAGCCAGTTCTCAATTAAATGGTTAAAAAGTGGTGGAACTAAAGAGAAAGAGATCACGGAGTCTCTCAGCACGAGCAGCAGGATCTCGGCATGAGCAGCAAATGCAAGATGGTCACTCTCACTGCAGCACTGCTGAGCCGCCGCACGTGCGACCATCCACTGCATGAGCAGCCACCTTAACCGCACGAGCGGCCATTCCTTAAATGTGTACTGTCAAAGTTTCGCATGTGCGGAGAATTTTGACTGCCCTCAAAATGCATGCGGAAATGAGAAATGAGCTTAAGAGAATTCAAGTATAAAAAGAAAAAGAAAAGAAAGAAAGAAAAAGGGTTATGATTTTCTTTGGTTGAAAGAGGGAGGCAACTAGGGCTAGTGGGGAAGCAAACCTTAAACATCCATGGGGCTCACCATCTCCTCCATTTCCTTGTCACTCCTACCTATCTCCATGAGTGGCTAAACACCATACTTAGGCTGCGTTTGGTTTAGTTTTGGAATTGTGATTCTTTTTTTGGGGTTGTGATTTGAGCGTGGAATTGTGTGTTGAGTTTTGAAAAGAGAAAATTTGTTTAGTTATGAGTTTTGAAAAGTGTTTTGAAAGGTATTTTTGAATTTTGAAAAGAGTGGATTGGGTCTACCCGGTCGTCCGCTCGGACATTCTCCCGGAAGTCCGATCGGTTGACCGGAACAGTGAATTTTTTAAATTTATTTATTTATCTTTCCAATTGCAACTTGTTATTTGAAAATATATATATATATATATATTTGTTTTAGATATTTTTTAAATATAAAAATTATTTTTTTTAGATTTTTTATAAAAATAATTTAACAATCCCATCACTAACCATTTTCAACACTAAATCATCAAAAGAGTTTAGTGCTGTGTGTTTGGTTATGAGTTTTGAGATTAATTTTTTAATTGAGTTCTGTGTAATTTTGAGTTGTGTGTTTGGTAATGAATTTTAAAAAGTGTTTTGAAAATTTTTCCTTCCAAAGGCAAACCAAACGGAGCCTTAGGGTTTCAATGAAACCCTACCCAAGTAACCAGATTTTCATCTTGACAGCTTTGTATTGTATTGTTTTAATTGGAATCAATTGTAAAACTTTTGAGTTCTTGAATCAAATTATTTCTATCTTTACTCTTGCTTCAATTTTTGTGATTGCGAATGAATGTTTTACTTTAGTTTTCATTGTTGTTGTATTTGGAACTTGAGACGGACTATGCTCTCACTAGACAAGTTGTGCCACAAACCCTAGTTTAGAGTGGACAATCTGTGCTGGTTGAGATAGGCCGTACTCTTGCCTCGAACACAACATTACTTTTCTTTTCAATTTCCAACTTGTAGTTGAGAAATTTGCTCATTCCAATCAATCATTCGTATAATTTAAGATGAGAATTTAGGTACGGAACTAGAGGTGGATTTGGATCCCTAAGTTGCCATTTCTTATTATTTAACTCAAATGTCCTTGCTTATTTAGTTAGGGTTTCATTATTTGTCTCAACAAACAATTCATCAACAAACTAATTTGGGAATTGATAATTGAAATAGTTATAATTACACAATTGTCCCTGCGGATACGATACCCATACTCTACCACTTTACACATTTTAACACCTTTACGGGAAGATTGATTTGAGACAATCAGTTGTTCCATTTTAAAATTCAAAAATTAGATTTGTTTGCTCCATATTTAAGTTCTTGCCCTTCACAACAAAAGTTCACCAAATAATTTGACTCCTTACCATTTGTTTGTGGGGCTTGATTTGCATACAAAAATTGAGAATCATTTTGTCGATCATTGATGGATTGCTCTTTTTTCACTTGGTTTATATTTAAGCGTTGCTCACAAGTTGTTGGATGAAATAATTTACAACACGGTTTTTTATATGTAGCAAAACAAAATTGGTTGAAATAAAAGGTTTTTTGAATTGATTTATTGCTTGATTGAGAATTTATTTATTTCACTTCTATATCTGTCAACATTAGTTACTCAAAAAGATTGAAGACATAGTGTTTGCCTCTAATGAGTTTCTATCTTCCAAAAAAAAAAAAAAAAGCCTGATCAGTGGACTTAATTTAAATGTCTAACTATAAGAAATTGACAAGGTAAAAGGGAACAAGGATGCAAGCCGGCCTATCGTAAAAGTTCACAAATTTACATGTCTTGTTAAAATAAAGTACTTATATTAAAATTCTCTTCATATTAAAATTCTCTTTTTGTTTTGTGATTTGAGATATTTAATTTAGTTTGTCGATTTATTACAAATATGTTATGAAATTTAAGAGTGAATTTTCTAAAGAATTTCTAGAATTTAAAATTTTAAATGTCACCACTGATAAAAATTAGCCCCAATGTAATTTGGCAGGCTCTAATGATTTATTGAAAGAATATGTAATGCAAAAAAACAAAAACAAAAGCATTATAAATCATCCTAATGGCCATGCGATGCAAAACTTATACTATGACTCCCTGTAGCCATTGGAAGCTACTCATAGTCTACCAAGGTAAGCAAAGAAGAAACTAAGACTTAAAGCTACCAAGTTATGGGATCAAGGGGCTCACTGCTTCGCTGCTGTTGCAATCATACCACGAGGATTTATGCCTCTTTTATCTATTTCATCTCCAAGCTTTAGGATTGGGATTCCATCAATATATTCCATTACCAAGACCCTCCTAACCAAACAATGAAACTCTTAATTACCAAAAGGTGATGTGAAATCACAGCATCAACAATGGTGCAGTATAGAATTTGGAAAAACACAATAAACCAACGTATCAGTGGCCAAAAGAGTAAAGTAAATTCATTGAAATCAATCTAATTGCAGAAGGTGGCATTAGTGAGGTTGTGACAACAGATGATAGCCATTAAGATGAAGGATTGTGGAGGAAAGAAGTGCAACTGCAATCGCTCTCTGTTCATTGTTTGAATTACCAAAATTACTGGCGTAACAGTGTCAGAACATTAAATACAGCAATGCAATCATAGAAACAATATATAACATGAAAAAATGCAACAAGTGTTTTAAACAAAGAGTGGGTTGATATATTAGAGCCTTTACTAGAAAAGACAACGTCATTTTTCATCCATATTATTAACAGTATGAATGATCGTACAGGTACAAAGTGTTACTAAAATTAGAACTTTAGGGGAGCATAATGTAATTATATCAAATTTGTTGAGCTTATTGTATTTTTCTTCAACCTTTAGGGAGGTTAGTATATTTACCCATTAATAACAGTACAAATATTCTCTTATTGCTTATACCTGTCCTCTCAGTGTTCCAATATTGACTTTTTGAAACTGGAACTATGAAGTTTCATCCACCACTTCATCTTGTCAATAGTTTTTTTTTTCTTTTCTATTTTTTTCTTTTTTTCAGATCAAACATAACATCTCTTCTTACAAACTACATTTTTTACCGCATCCCACTGTTAAATTTTAGCACCTTCTAATATGCAATTTTTTTCTCACTACTTTTCTGCATGTATGTATAGTGAGAAACACAGTGACCTGTAACCTGCCTTTGTGTTCATGTGTCATGCTTGTTATGCAAATGTTAACATGTTCATTTCTGTGTTTGTGTATTCATTCATCTATTTTGTATTAATTATTAATTCTAACAAAAAAGTGAGCAATACTAAAAAGCCAATTCACAAAGCCCAAACTAAACAGAGAAATCCTGTATAGGTTGAACACACAATACCAATTCTTATGTTAGAGATGTGACAATATACAAGAATGGAAGACTTTTATCCATGTCAATTGGTGGACAACCTTACTCCAAATAACGTGAAGAAGACACGAAGCATGAAAGATGTGACACACTTCCAACTTTACTAAGTTCAATTTATGTCTGTGAAATGTATATTATATTTTTGGTATATTATAACATCACTTATAACAAGAGATTCAGAGAGAGCAAACCAAGGAAATCGATTGCAAACCAAGGAATCAGAGAAGAAAATGTTGCAAAATCGGAAAGAACAGACCGAACTAGAGAATTCAGGAATACCTCGAACCAAAGAACAACCAGCATACCAAAGAGCAAACAGCGAACCAGCGACGAACCAGAGAGAAAGAGAGTAGATCGCAACCCAATAGTCCGATCAATCACGACCTGGAGCAACAAACCAGAATTACGGCGAAAAAGATCCCGTCGAACTGAACCAGAGTCAGAAAAACCAGAAACAGAGGTAGGGTTTCCCTGGCTCTGATACCATGAAAGAATCCTTTTGGAGAAAGAATGTATTATTTCTGAATGAATGATTACATAGCTATTGAGTCTCTTAAATATAGACAAGCAAAATCGAAAGAGAAAAACTACTGAATAGGGAACTTCTAAGTTCTAACCTAAATTACAATAGGAAAGATACCAAAAATATAATATACGTTTCACAACGTGCACCTCTCAACCACACCTTATGTCATGCTTGATGCCACCAATATCCTACATTGAATCTCACAAAAATCTTTCCTCGCAAAGAAGATAGTCAACTTCTTCATTCATATAGTAGAAACTAGGTAGAAGATAGAAGGAAGGAATGATCATGGATTGTGTTTACTCTATACCTTTGAAGTCCATATTCTTAAGCATGAAGCTTGAAGCTTACTCAAATCAAATTTTTCCAAAAGGCACAAGGCAACCAAAAGTGGCATGATCATAAACAAAGTTGCTACCTTGTAATTAAATCCACATTTATCATCATCAAATAAAGTGCAATATTAAATTTCCATCTCTACAGCATCAAATATTTATTTTCACAAACATTTATGCATTGGTTGTTGTACCCAAAAGGCACTATTACATACGTGGGCACTAAAGAGTGACTTATTGCTACAGTTTAAGATGTAATGAAACTCAAACATTCACTCATGAATCAAATTGATTGAATCAAGTTAGGAATAAATTACCAAAAAAGCAAGACCACAAAAAATATATATATATATATACCCAAAAGATCCATTTGCACATTCTGGGTGTAATGTTTGATAATTATTAACAACGTTTTTCTGATACAAGTATCAAAAAGTTTCAAAATTAAATTAACATTAAATACTTTGGTCCTAGCTAAATACCACAGAGCCAGCTAGAGGAAAATGAAATACACCACAACATACCTAGTGACCATATCCCGCATCACCCTTGGCACCATGACAGGAGCTTTTTTATTATTCTCAAGCATAAAACGTTTAATTCTTTCCATAGCATCAGCTTCTCTCTTGAAGTCAAATTCAAACCCAATCTTCAATGATATAAATGAAAGCTACATTATCATCTAAAAACAGGATCTGATAAAGTCTCACATAAAGAAAAAGTTTACATTTACTAAATTAGGAAAGAACAGTAACAGTATAAATTTCTACCAACAAATGGGTTTAAACTTGATTTTATTTAGCATTGCTATAACTTCGAGTTATACATATGAGGTCAAGGAAATATTGAAAATTATAAAGTTCAAGATAACCACAGACCTCACTTTGAAACATTAAAACAAATAATATGACCCAGACAGTAGAAACACTGTGTGGAAGAAAATTTGTTACCGGTGGAAGGAAAATCAGTTTTTTCTTCTCTAAAGGTGGTAAATTACTTCCAAAATGCTAGCCACAATGTTTAGAGTTTGGCAGTAAGAAAAAAGATCATTTGAGATTCATTTGAATATCTACCATACCATGATCAGCTCTAAGCGTCAGCTAATGTTTTAAAAGCCAATGTACTTGTACATCTGACTTGTCATGATATGAGAAATGTAGTCACCACATCCACTTTGAACCTGATTTTAAGTTGGCAGAAACTTACCAAGTTAAATTAATCAGATTCCACTATGAGATTTGGATAAAAGTATGTATTGCATGGAGGCTTAGAGCAAGACATATTACCAACCTTTACAGCCACCAAAAAGGGTGTAAGGGTCTAAGTATTACAGACAGTTACAATTCTCTAACAGCCCTAGAAACATATTGGATAATACATCTTGGACATTCCAAAAATATGAAAGTAAATATCATCATTTGGGATACTCGGCTAACACTTCTCAGATTTTCCTCCTTCCATGTCAAGGATGAAATGGACACAATTTAAAATGAGGAAAAAGTAGAGTCACAAGACAACAAAACGAAAGACTACAAGGGTAGTCTATTATAAACATGTGATTATGTATATCATAGTTGTTGAGCTTCACTTTCTACATAATATGTTGTTGTATTCAATCTCTAGATATATATATATATATATATATTTGTGTCCTCATTGTATCCATTCCTACTTTTTTATTGGAGTATCTGTTTTTGGTCATGTCTACGTCTCATGTAGGTTTCTGTCCTCATAAGCAAGTTTCATATAAATGATAACAAACATTCAACAGATGCACAACGAAGACTTCAAGAAAATTTGGTCAAATTATGGAAAATGCTTTTTCTTTTTTGATCAGCGACCAACAAAGATTTTATTAAGGCACATAGCCAAAAGAGAAGAGGATAAGGCATCCTCTATAAAGAAAAGTACATATAGAAAAGACAAAGCAGTGCGAAGAGACGAAACTCAAAACAAATGGGACACTACATATCACAAACTGACACCCAATCTGCTGCAATCAAAAAAAGAGGAATTCCTTTGATCAAAGGATTCGCTGACACCCAAAAAGAAGCTAAATGTCGAACTTTTTCAATAAAAAAATCAATATCTCGAGATACTTCTTCGAAGACACACCCATTTCTCTCCAACCAAATGACCCAAAAAATCGCAAAGATAGCACTAAGCCAAAGCACCTTGGCCCTCTTTGACCTGCCCAATACTCGAAAATCAATTAAAATCATTTGTACACTATCTTTTGGAGCCACCCACATAACATTCCCCAAACAAAACAACCTTTGCCATAAACTCGCTGCTACTGGACAATGCAGAAATAAATGGTCCAATGATTCTCCGTTCCTCCGACACATTATGCACCATGGAGGATTTAGAGAATGGGAAGGTCTCCTCTTTTGCAATGTGTCATTTGTTAAAGTGCCTCGATGAACTAAGGTCCACATGAACATCTTTACCTTAAGAGGATCACAAGCTCTCTATAACTTCTTGTGAAAAGGAAACAGAAGTATGTGAGGCTTATCAATGAGTTTGTCAAAAACAGATTTACAAGAAAAGGAACCCGAATAATAAATAGCCCAAACCCACTTGTCCTCTAAAGTTAGAACCAAAGAGACATGTTCAAGCCTTGACAATAGATCCATCAATTCCCCAACTTCCCTATCATTAAGATTTCTAGGAAAATTAAAATTCCAAGAAATTAGGGCCAAAGACGAGCATGCCATGGATGCAATAGAGCAATCATGAGACTGAGACACTCTACACAAATGCAGGAAAGACACAACAAAGGAAGAAGAACCCACCCAAACATCCTCCTGAAATTTGGCAACTTCCCCATTACCCACCCTCACAAAAATGAAACAAAGCCAGATTGGATAAATATGAGATATTCATTTCCAAGGAGCACGACCATTACCCCTAGTGACCACCTGTGAGTCTCTACCATTAGCATGAATCTCATACTTGCTTCTAATGACCTTGTGCCATAATGAATCACACTCATTTGGGAATCTCCATAACCACTTGCCAAGTAGAGCTGTGTTTCTAGCCACAGTATTATCGATGGCCAAACCCCCTTTCTCCTTAAGAAAGGAAACTGTCTCTCAATTCACCAAATGATCCTTTCTGCCCCCCCCCCCCCAAAAAAAAAAAAAAAAAAAAAAGAAGAAGAAAATCTCGTATCAATTTTTCAAAAGATCTTGCCACCTTAACTAGGATCTTAAACAAAGACAAAAAGTAAACTGGAATGCCACTTAGAATTGTCTTAACCAAAGTGTATGTACTTGTTGAGAAAGTAAAGCCCTATTCCATCCTTCCAACCTCTTTCCTATCTTTTTCACAACTGGAATCCCAGATGATTCATTTCTAGGGTTACCTCCCAAAGGAAGTCTCAAATATCTAATCGGAAGTGTCTCCACACCACATCCTAGAAGCACAGCCACTCGCTCAAGCTTACTACTCTCTACATTAATACCAACCACACTACTCTTTTCCAGATTATCCTTGAGACCTGAAATCACCCCCCAAAAGTTTCACCACTGAAAAAAGATTTAACTAATTCTTTTTCATCCCCCGAGGAAAAGAAAGCAGTGCCATCCGCAAACTATAAATGTATCAAACTAATCCTATCTTTACCAACATGTAAGCCCTCAAACAAACCTGCCTCTCTAGCCCTATCCACCATCCTTTATTAACATGTCTACCACCAAAATAAAAAGAAAAGGAGATAAGGGATCCCCCTTCCTAAGTCCTTGCGAAGCCTTAAAAGCTCTCCCCTAGCTTACCATTGACTATTACCGACATATTGCAAGTCGCCAAACACCCCCTAATCCATGATCTTTGTCTCTCTCCATAACCTTTCCTTTCTATTACAAAATCCAAAAAATGCCAATTCATGTGATCATACACTTTCTCAAAATCTGCCTTAAAGACAATCCCTTCGTTCCCTAAACTCTTATATTCATCCACCACCTCATTTGCCACCAGAACCACATCTAAAATCTGTCTGCCTTTCACAAAAGCCCCTTGAGATGGGGAAATAGTAGCCCCCAATGAAGACCACAACCTTTTTGACAATACTTTTCCCAAAATTTTATAAAGTGATGTAACCAAGCTAATGGGTCTGAAATCTCTGATTTTGATAGCTCCCTCATTCTTAGGAATTAAACAAATGAAAGTGGCATTTGAGCACAAATTAACCACCCCCATCTCATGAATTCCGTAAAAACTCTAAACAAATCCTCTTTCACCGCCTCCCAGCAATCTTGAAAAATAGCAATGGAGAAACCATCCGGGCCTGGGTTTTATCCCTCTCACAATCAAATACCGCTTCTCTAATCTCCAATTCCTCAAAAGGTCTCTCTAACCAACTTGCATTTGCCAGATCAATAGACCCCCACTCAAATCTTTCTATCCCTGGTCTAACCATCTCATCCTTCGAATACAGCTAAGAATAAAAATCTAAAAATTCCCTTGACTATATGATCCTCCCTTGCCTCCACTATCCTCAGGCTTTCTTTTTCCCATCTGCCACATTATGAAAAACTTTGAATTAATGTCCCCCTCCTTTAACCACTACACATTTTCCTTTTGGGCCTAAAAAAGCTAAAAAAGCTACTCCCTAAAAATCAACTCCTCCAATTTCAATTTTAGCTCATTTCTTTCACTCATTGACCCATCTAGCTCCCCTTGCATCTCCCTTGCATCAATTTCCTCAATCCTATGCTTAATCTGAGATTTTAAATCCACCAAGTCCCCAAAAACCTCCATATTCAAGTTTTTCACATCCTCTTTAATCAACTTAAACTTCCTCATAAATTTAAAACCCTCCCACCCATGACATCTAGCATTATTCCACAATCCCGCAAAATTTTCCTTGATAGAGTGATGATCCAACCACAAAATTTCAAATATGAAGGGAGTCAATCCCTTACCTAAAAGGACAACTCTCTATCATAATGGGACAATGATCAAAAACTAATCTTGGTAATGTTTCCTACCTCACATTGGGAAAGACCCCCTCCTATCCCATAAGAGAATAAAAACCTGTCCAATCTACAACATACCAAATTTTCCTACAAATTTGACCAAGTGAATCTAGCATTAAAGAGAAAAGGATCCATCAACTCACACTCTCTAATAAACCTGTCAAAATCTGTCATTCCTCTATTGATCCTATTCCCAGTGATCTTCTCCGAAATCTTTCTAACCACATTGAAATCCCTCCCTAAACACCAATTTGGAGAACACAACCCATATAGCCCATATAACTCCTCCCACCAATCTGTCCTCCTAGAAGGACCGTCAACCACACTCAGTCCAGATTCCTAAACCTATTGATAATGAGAACTATCCTGCTAAAGACTCACACTCTGAAACAACCCTCTCATCCCACATGATTAAAATACCCCCAGACCTTCCAACTGAAGGTACAAAAGCCCACCGCCTGTGCCTAGATCCCCAGATACTTTTAATAAAATTCCTATCGCACCCTTCCACCTTAGTTTCCTGAAAAATGACAATATTTGGTTGATCTTTCTTTAAAAAATCCCTAATAGCCCCTTCTTCTTTCGAGAGCCCAAACCTCGCACATTCCAAGTAAGAGGGGGATTTATGCCGAACAACGGGCCGCACAACGGGCCAAACTATAGCCTTGGCCCGAACTGAAACAACACTAGACACAATGTTGGGCTGAACTGAATCAACATGAGGCACTGTGTTGGGCCGAGCTAACCTAACGCTTGGTGTGGCGTTGGACCGAGCTAAACCTTCACAGTCTCCAGCTTAGTGCCGAAATAAGTCGTGCTTGAACGCAAGAGTGGCTCAAGCAAGGCTTGGTTTGAACCGCAAGCATGGATTGAGTGGAATAATGACAGGACGCGTCTTTGGCCAAACGAGCGACTGGTAGGTTGATTGGTCCAGGAGTATTGTGACCTCGCGGCACTGGTCGGGAATGTAGCCAGCCGGGGAGCCGGCCTGACTTAGCTCAGCACAAGGTGGATCTAAGCTAGCAGTCTAGGGACGCCACAAGTTATTGCTCAGTTGAGACTCCACGTGATCCAATGGCATGAGGAGAGGAATCCACTAGTATACGTCAATACCGTTTGGCGGTTTAGCCAATATTGTTTGGCAATATTGACGCGTACACGTGTAAGGAAAGAGGGCAGTACGGTCCAGGAAAGAACAACAGAGGTAGTGCACACACAATCTGGGGCTACATGGCCAGCCTAAATAAGAAGGGCGCACAGAGTCCGGGAAAGGTATGCAAACTCTTACAATTCTCTCCCTTGCGCTCTACTTTCTCTTTTTTTCTCCAAGAAAGCTAACTTGACCATCGAAGGAGTTTTCAGGCAAACCACCCGTCGGGTAGCTCACCTCTGTTCTATTTGCAGCGAGTCGGAGTTCTGTTAAAGGAGACGAGCTTGGTAGCAAGGTGTACGGAAGGCGATGGATATTTCCTCTCCATACAATTGGCGTCGTCTATGGGAAAGAGGGAATCGTGCTCACAATGATGGTTGGAATGGCACTGAGAGCAGTGATAGGGTTAGGGTTTGATTTCGAGAAAAATGAACAGTGGGGCACATATGACGCGTGAATGGCATATACGTAGGCAAAGATGAAAAGGCACCAACTTTTCAAATTTCGAAGATCGTGTTGACAGCTGGAGAGTCGCACGGAACTAGTAGGAAGATGCCACGTGGCGTGATGCGATGGGTTGTTAGCACGACAGACTGATGGGATGGACAGGTGGCGGTACAAATATCAAAAGTTGACCAAAGAGATAGCTCGGCTATGAAAGGTAATCCCAGTCATGCCAAGGCAGACGAAATTAAGAGGCAATTGAGAAGAGGATTTATGCCGAACAACAGGCCGAGCTATGGCCTTGGGCCGAACTGAATCAACACCGGACACGATGTTGGGCCGAACTAAATCAACATGAGGCATTGTGTTGGGTCGAGCTAAGCCAAATCTTGATGTGGCGTTGGATCGAGCTAAACCTTCGCGATCTCTGGCTTAGTGCCGAAATAAGTCGTGCTTGAACCCAAGTCAAGGCTTTGTTTGAACCGCAAGTGTGGACCTAGTGGAATAATGACGGGCCGCAGTCTTTGGCCGAGCAGGCAACTAGCAGGTTGACCGGTCCAGGAGTATTGTGACCTCGCGACACTGGCCGAGAACATAGCTAGTTGGGGAGCCGGCCTGACTTAGATCGGCACAAGGTGGATCTAAGCTAGCAGTCTGAGGACGTCACAAGTTATTGCTCTGTTGAGACTCTCCACATGGTCCAATGGCATGAGGATTGGACCATGTGGAGAGGAATCCGCTATGAGTATAAGTTAATACCGTTTGGCGGTTTGGCCAATACTGTTTGGTAGTATTGACGCGCACACGTGTAGGAAAAAGAGAGGACAGCCCATGCATCCAGGAAAAGACAACATGTAGTGCGCGCACAATCTGGGACTGCATGGCCAGCTTAGATAAGAAGGGCGCACAAAGTCAGGGGAAGGTATGCAAACTCTTACAATTCTCTCCCTTGAGCTATACATTCTCTCTTCTTCTCCAATAAAGCTAACTTGACCGTCGGAAGGGGTTTTTTGGCAAACCACCCGCCGGCTAGCTCACCTCTGTTCTGTTTGCAACAAGTCGGAGTTCTGTTAGAGGAGACAAGCTTGGCAGCAAGGCATATGGAAGGCGACGGATATTTCCTCCCCATACACCAACTAATAATCTTCATTGAGAAACATCAACACCCCTAACCTTCTCATGTCGCCTATCATAATTAATGGTGCTCACAAAATGGGAAATTCTATTTCCACACACCTAATTAGCTCAGTACATATCTTTTCTCAATACACACACCCATTAATTTGATTATCAATTAATTTTCTCAATTCACACACTTCAAGTTACAATTACACCCTTCACTCATAACCATTATACACACATCACTAACCCTCTTTCCACACACTTTTGATTGACCCTACTTCCACATTGGCCCACCTATGCCCTTGAAGACTATGGTCTGAAGTGAAATTTCCTCCATAGAATACTTACATAGAAGACCTCCATTGAACCTCCATTCGAGACCATTGTAATTCCTCTAAAATACTTTCCATTTTCTTATTACATTTATTATTTTGTTATTGCCTTTATCATTTCGGATCTATGTGCACTCCATTGGCATAAAACCTTCAATTTCAGTCTTGTGAGTGACGGTTTGGGGCTTTCAGCATTGGGTTTCTGAAACAATAGAGTGAATTCGGAACATAACTTCCAAATAAATTGTATTATTTCGACAAATTACTACTAGAAAAAAAAAAAAAAAAATTTCTCAATTATTAGTTTCCGAAGTTGATGAATTTTTTCGGTTCTGTAGTTCTGAAATTATGCCATGTTTTTGACAATTTAGTTTCGAAAATTATGTGTGTTGAATCAATTAACTGAATTGTGAGTACAAAACATTCTTATAGCAACAAAGTAGTCTTAGGCGGTTTATTTTGTTGATTTATTTGATTGATAGCGTACCGTTGATGGAATTGATCATGGTGTGATGATCTCTTTGACCAGGAGAATTAGTGGCATAAATAGAAAGACTCAGGAATTTCCTACCTTGAGCAACACTACAGGCCTAGCAATAGAAGAGTATAGAGTGTGCAACAAGTAAAGTGATAACAATGAAAAAATTAAAGTTTAATTTTTTTTTAACTCAAAAGGTGTACATTGAGATTTTCTTGTTCTTAAAGATGTGTACAGAAAAATTTTTCATATAATTTTATGAGTGTTATTGGATGTCTATTATAGTCATTTTTACTTAGGATATAATTGTCATTAAATTAATATTTCATTAAGTGTGTGCCTTGAGCTAATTAAATGTGCGGAAATAGAATTTCTCTCACAAAATTCCTTAACTCCTTCACACCCCTCCTGCCACTAACCCCTCCTTTTCCAGTTTCCTTTCCCCTTATGACCCTATTTTCCTTAGTACCTAAATGCTATGTTTGAAATAGCAGAAACCAGCAACACTCAAATGAACTTTGTAGATAAGAACACACCTTACTATATTCAATTCAAATAATATCCAGTTCTACCATAGAGTACCTTCAAGGAAAGAGGTATATCATCCAACCCTCTCCGTATATTAAATACCACACCCCATTGGGCTCATTGGTTGAACAACTATCATGTCATCACTCAATGATCACATACATTATTCAAGGTTTGTTTCAAAAGACCAATGGATCTTGTAGTAATATAAGTTCACAAGTTAAAAAAAACATTTAACATATACTCAGCTTTTTAAATTTCTATGTTTTCAATTTTTCCTCCTTTTTATTCTATTTATTTATTTATTTTGGAGGGCTGTATGAACAACAAGCACAAGTTGTTCCACAAAATCTTAGAAAAATAGGGTTAAATGTATCTTCATGGAACACCAACACAGAAACAATGTGCACCTGTTTCTCCATTTCCTTAGCTATAGAGTGGAGATCAAATTTGATATCTGTCTTTTGGATGTATAATGCAAAAGCTTTCAAGTTACGGATATCTGTCATCATCAAATCCTGAACACCAGGATGTTGCACCTGCATTACTGTAGCAATTAGAACCTGGAAACCATAGAGAGGAAGCAAAGTTAAAGCATCCTTACCTTGACTACAACATCAGTTTTATCACCTTTTAATCTCGCTCGATGCACCTAAATTGACCATGAAACATAGGTACCATGTGAGTGTGACTCTCTGTATGCATTATTACAAATTTCCATCCTAAATCCTTCCACCAAGGAAAGCAACTTTTACAACAATGAAATGCAAAATGAATACAATAGCAGAGCGAAACAACTTGCAATTGTGTGGGATTTATCAGAAGATTTTGTTCACAAGTTTGAGTTGAATTTCAGTCACTAAAGATTTAAGAATTATTCATGGAAAATATAAAATTTTTGAACTGGAATCAAAGAATCAATTTGAGTTGTGCAAAACTCCAGCATGCCCCAGCTGGATCTTCTTAGTCTGGGAAGGGTGGGTGAGTTTTTCATCTGTCATGCGAAAGTTTTGTTTGGTTTGGTTTGGTTTGCCTCGAATCAATTTGTTAACAAATGGATTGAGCTCAGGATGACCTTGAACTAAACAGGCCATCCGGCTAGCTTTTTCCTTTCACAAACAAATATGTTCTAGTAGCATCCCCATCTAAATACAGATTTCAAGTGACTAAAAACTTATCAAAAAGTAAAAATTGAAACTACAGGGAAACAATTGCCAGGTCTTGATCATTCAATGAACAAGGAAGATATGAATCAAGCTGGATACAATTTTTACTATATGTTTTCAATTACATCAAATTGCACTAATATGACCAAACACTTGTCAGTAAATAAACTTTCTTCAAACCAACAGGAAGATTTACCTGTGGAACTGAACTCCAAGGCATTTTACTTACATTTAAAATCATGGATCTAACTTCATTTTGGTAAATGTTAGGTTTTCATAACCATATAAGACGCTATCACACTTTTAAATACCAATGACAATTAACTTCTCCATATTGGTATGCAACTTTTGGTTTGATAAAATCTTACATCACGTGACCTTCACCTCCACACCATTGTTTTCTCAGAAAGTTTTGACTTTTTGTGAGCATCCTACTGCTTATTTTCAAGGAACTTGTATCAATACGAAACATTTACACACACAGAAATCATGGGTCCATGGATGTTGTGTCATGTCTCTTTTCAAGTTCCTCAATTCTTAACATCCTTTTTTTTTGGGTTTTGGCAGAGCTACTCAAAAAATTAAATTACTTCCAACAGCATGGCACTGATAGAAATTTAGGGATAGCTGAGTCACCTGTGCAATTGAAGCAGAACCAATTGGATCAGCATCAAATCTTTCGAACAATTCATCAACACATTGACCCAACTCATTTTCAAGCACAGCTTGGATGACATCAAGCGGGGTTGCAGGAGCTTGATCACACAGCGTAACGAGCCTTCTAACCCATGCAGCTGGGGCCAAGTCAGGCTTCCCAATGACTTGGGCAACCTACATCAAACCCAAACCCAAACCCCATACCATCCCACTAATAAGTAAAATTAATCTACACCACACATACATAGTCATTAAATACAAACAATCAATAATGTCAAGTTTCTCAAGTAACCAAATTAGTATATCAGAATCAGCCTAAATCGTGAAACCCCATTTGGAGAAATAGAAATTAAATAACAGCCAAATCCAATAAACAGGGAAGAAATCAAAATACCCATTAGCATTAGAGCATTCAGAACCCAGAAATGAAGTTAAAAAGAACAACCCATCCCATTTGAGATTGAGCTTGAATAACACAAATATATAGACCTTGAGAAAAAAGCCACCAAGGTCAGAGCACATGTGAAATAGCTTGTCAGCAGCAAACTCATGTTGTCTTTCCCACATAGCCTCTTGCTTCCGCACATCTTTCTCGAAACTCACTCGAAGCTGAAACACCTATAAACTCACAACAAAACCGAACATGCCATAAATTACATTTTTACAAATACACACACACACACACACACATATATATATATATATAGAGAGAGAGAGAGAGAGAGACCTTGTAACCAGTGTAGATATCAGTAGCTCGAAGCCAGAATTGAATGGAGCGTTGCCATGGCCTGAAGTGGGTGGAGAGCTTCTTTTGAAATTCATTGAGATCAAGACAATCCATTCTCCCTCTCTCTCTCTCTCTCTCTCTCCCTCCCTGCCTCCCTCTTGCTAGTACTAGTAGTAGCGTTTCGGCGGCGCTATATTTCGTTTTCAATTAGCTTCAGTTCCCCCCACGCACGCGTCCCTGGCCGTCTTGCATATTGGGTTGCTTTGAAAATGGAAAAGGTTTGGACCCACGACAGAAGATCCCAATATCTCAATAAGATATTGATTGTTAATGCGTTTGAATTTTTTTTTAAAGGTGATATAAATAGATTAGATTATTTCGAAGATTGTAACGATTGTGTTTTGTGAAACTCTTTATCATTATTATTTGAAAAATTGATTAAAGTTAGTTTTTTAATTTTTTTTAAATGTTTAAAAAATGTAAAAAATGATATGATTTAAAATAAGTTAAAAATTAAGAGCGACTTTAGAGTTGAGAAATATGAGTATACTTTTTGATTTTTTACGAAAAAACGTGAAATATAAGTTGGATTTAAAATGATATAATAGAGAGATGATGTGATTTAAATGAGATGATATCTATACTATATATTAAGTAAAATGGGGTTTTTAACCCCCAAAGCCTGTGGGAGTTTTAATATCCCAATCTGAATTTTTTAAATTTTTTATTAAAAAAAAAAACTCAGCATTTATTGATTTGGTCAAAATCTCTGATCAGCATTTATTAATTTTTTTCAATCTACATATCTTTCCACATGCCTGCATTTATTGATTTGGTCAAAATCCGTGATCAACATTTAAAATTCTCCCATACAAATAATTTTAGATATACTCGTGCATAGTTACTGCAGTAGCATTTTTAATTTCTCCTATACACTATTGTTAGTGATAAGATTGTTAAATTATTTTTAAAAAAAATCTTTAAAAACATAATTTATATATTAAAAAAATTTAAAACAAATATAAATATCTATAATTATCCCGTGTATAGCACAAGTGATAAGCTAGTAAGTTAAATAGGATAGTGACTTTTTAATTTTTTTATATCATGCCAAACTAAACCTTAATCTATTTCTCAAATGAAGCCATTGCGCTTTTCCTTTGCTTTGGTCACAAATCCCTCCTCTCTCTCCCTTCCTCTCGTGTATGAACTGGTGTGGTTTATAATTTCAGTGAGTTATTTTTAGCTTATTTGAGAAGTGAGTTAAAAGTCACTTCTCAGCTTTTAATTTATTTCTTCTCTCACCAAAAAAAAAAAAAAGTCTAAAAACTATAAATAAAAAAAAAAACTAAAAAGTCAATTTTTAATTATCTTTTCAAAACACCCCATAATTAGTATTTTAATTTGGTTAAAATAATTATATTTAAAAGTTGGTTGATTTTTTTTATATAATTAATTTAATAATTGTAGCAAAAAAAATAAAATAATTATAATTTATTTTAATTTATTAATTATTTTATCTTATTAATTATTTTAATTTATTTTATTTTTAAATAAATTATTTTAGTCTAATCCCCCTCCCAATCACTCCATAAGTTTTACGAGTTGTGGCTCTCTGAGGTACCAAATAGTGATTAAAAATTGATTCGATCTGAGATACCAAAGGGTGATTAAAAATTGATTCGAAAGTGTTTTATTGCAAAAACGAGTTCACTGGTGGAGGTTCTTCTATGTGTAATAGATTAAGAATTTTTTTTAACAACAGGAATTTCCTTCGCTGCTTGTGTGCCATACACTTTTTAGGTACATGTTGACATGATTTTTAGGTACACTTTTGATAATTTGTGACCAAAAAATAAAAATACGTAAATTGTGATGATTAATAAATGTTTCAATAAAAACATATGTAATATCGTCACGTAATTTTATTTTTGAATTAAAAATTAATATAATTCTATCACAAAATTACATCCTACTTAAGCCTTATTTGAAAATAAGTTATGTTAATAATTTTTTGACTTTTTACGAAAAGATATGCAAAAAAGTAAAGAGAGTGATATAACAACTTATAGTGACTTTTTAACTAAAACATGTCATTACCAAACAAGAGCTTATCATGAAAAAAAAATATATATATATATATATATACCAAAAAAGCATAGCACCACCGTTATAGAGTGGGTATCGAAGGATTTCCTAAATAATAGTTATATGCATCTAGATAAGTTATCTAAAATAATACTTAAAATTCACAAACTAAGGATTGGTTTGAGATGTTTTAAAAAAATATATTTTTTGACTTATTGGTTTATATGGGTTGAGTTTGGGTTGAGTTTGATGTGATGTGTTAGAAAGGTGATGTGATTTAAATAAGATAATGTGACTTAAATAGGATAGTGACTTTTTAACTTTTTATATTATTTAAATTTATTCTGGATTCAAAGTAGATTAAGTTCATTGTAGATTTCAAAGCTAATGCAATTTTCTCAATAATTTTTAAAATAGTAATTTTTAAATTTTTTTTTAGTTTAAGGCAGAGAGGTTTTATAGAAGTCCCCATATTATTTGGTTTAAGTTGTGGATGTCTATGCATATTTAGGCTCCATTTGGGAAAAAAAAAACCCGGTTTTTTTTTGGCTAAAATAGTCATAAAAAACAAAATAGATTTTTTAACCCAATAAAACAAAACATCATATCCAACCTATAATCATTACATTCTTTTTCTCTCAAAAAATCTAAAAAAGTCAAAAGTCCTTCTCAAACGAGACTTTTTGACCCCAGGCTAAACTAACCAAAAAAGTTAAAAAGCCAACCCACTTCCCAAACGAACCCTTAGTATAATTTATACTGTTTCATAAATCATTTTTAAAGCTTGTTTGATAACACAATTCAGCAATCATTAAAATTGAATCAATTAAGTAAAAATGAGATAAGTTGATTTGATAAACAAAATTTGTACCACTTAATCTAACAAGTTTATCTTAAAATTATTTTAAAAAATTAAGGTAGCGTTTGGTAGAGTTTTAGAATTAAGAATATAGTTATATTTTGAGTTTATGAGTTTTGGAATTATGATTTAAAAAAAGAAAATTTGTTTGGTTATGAGTATTAAAAAGAGTTTTGAATTGAGTGTTAAATTTTTTAAATGAGTTTTAAAATAAGAAGTTTGATTATGAGTTTTAAAAAAGGTTTTCAAAACTTAATTCAAAAACTTACAACTCATAACCAAACACACAACTCAAAACTCTGTTGAAAATTCTATTCAAAACTCATAACCAAACTCTTTTTAAAATTCAATTCTAAAAAATAACTATTGAAAAAAATTATTTAATTTTTTTTTTCACATAACAGCTGCAACAAAAAAAAAAAAGTTCCAGTCAATTGGCCGAACGTCCAAAAGGACGATCAAGTACATCCAAATATTCAAAAACTGTTTGAAAAGATGTCTAAGCGGATGACCGGGTAGACCAATTCAAAATTCAAGTACTCTCTCTACCACCCATATTCTGGAAAGAGTTTTCAAACATGGGTGTAGAATTAATTTTTGAGAATTATATCCAAACACAACACTCAAATATGAATGTGAAATCATGATTACAACTGTACTCGAAACACAGTACCTACTACCCTACTATGCTAAATGCATAAGATTTTAGTATTATTTTTTTGTATAATGTTTTTCCATCAAATATTTTCCTGATAAACCTTTATCATCACTGCCACAACTGCAACCACCATATAACCACCGCACCTCCACCACCAAAGCATCGCTACAATTACTATTGCCACAATTACAACCACTATATAATCACCACACCTCCACCACCAAAGCACCACCACTACAACCACTATTGCCACCACTTATAACACCATCACTTGCCAAATTATATATTTTTTTTTCGACAAAATAAAAATTTTCATTAAAAATATGAAATTTAAAGGTGTAAGGAAAAAAAAGATACATTGAGAGAGATTTGAAAAGTGCAAACTCTCCTATTATTACAACTCGCATCCATACAACTAACCCTTTAGCCTCACAGTTATTTATTTATTTATATATATATTTTAGTTAAGAAAAGAAAATTAAGAAACAAAATAAAAAAGATCAAAACTACTGTGACGACCCCGACATAAGTATTATTTTTATATAATATTTCATTAAGCATAATTGCATGATTATATGTTTAATTTGTGCCTATTTGTTTGCTTGTGAATTATCTGTTAGAATACTAACTTGGAATTCGAAATTGAGATCCGAAACGGATTCAGAAACCGAAATTGATTAGTTCAATAGGCTAATTAACATATTTAGAATCATATGGTAAGTCTAATTAAAATTTGATTCGGATCAAAATAATTAGAGTAAAGTGATTAAGATTAGTTAGACTTAAGCCTAATTAGTTAAGACTAATCTCACTTAATTAACCTAACTTAATTAAACCTATAAATATGGGATATAGGCTTATTGAGTTCATATTCTTTGACTAAGAAGCTGAAATTAGAGATGGAGTGGAAAGCTCAACACTTTAGAAAGAGAAACGAGGAAATTCTAGAGAATTGAATGAAGATTGAAGGGAATTAAGTTAGTAACATCTCAATTTAAGCTCTAGGTATAATCTTTAACCATAATTCATGAAGATAATCCATGTAAAAATTGAATTCACTTAGTTGTAGAATCAATTGCTTGTAATTTGAAAGGAAATGTTAAAACAACTTGAATATGGTAGAAATGAGCCAAATGAGTACATGCATACATAATTCTCCATCTTTGAGTGTAGTTTTCTACAAATTCATACATGCATGGGACTTACACTTATTGTTTCTTAAGGTTCTTCACAATTTTATACTTGTCATCTCATATATTAGTGTGTTGAAAAGAAAGGAAGACAATTCATTACATGCATGAAGAATTTGGTTTCAAACTTGGCAATACATGGTGTTTTTAAGCTCATGGTTTCCAATTTAGTATATATACATATTTTTCTATGAGTTTTCATGAATTTGGAACAACTATGCAAGTTATGAACATGAAAGATATACTTTTGAACTTCAAATTCTGTTTTGGAATTTTCAGAATTCGTTCACTTCGCTTGAGTAGTGAAGTCGTCACTCGAGCGCACTTTGCATGCTCTTAGTATTTTTACAAACTTTTGCAGTTGGCTCGAGCGACCCAAGTGTATGCTCGAGTGAACTTGACTTTACATTGCACTTGACTTGAGCGAATGTCAAGCCTACTTTGACACCATCTAGTACTTTTACAGTCAGACCACTCTGCTCGAGCGACTAAAGATGCGCTCAAGCGAACATGCTCTTTTAGGC